CCCCCCCCCCCCCTCTCCCTTCTTCCTGCGTTATATGTTCCTCTGTATCCTCGTAATGTATAGATCTTGTTTCATTTGTGTTATTTATGAAATGCTCCAGAGTTTTAGTTACTAAATAATGTGGTTTATGATTTGACAGTACAACTTCTGAGTGTAGTATGAAGCTTATCCTTGTGTGAATAATTTTTCAGTCTAAGTCTCTACGAGTAATGTGTATTGTATTTATGAAATATCAATTACTTCGTCCACTAATATTATAGATCCACTTGTACAATTTGTAGATAGAGTTGAGTTGACTACAAGTCTTCACGTGCTTTGTAGAAACCTTGTGATGGCGCATTGATTGTCGTTTTTCTTACTTTAAAAAAATTTCAGGTGACATCTACATCAGCAATTTAACAAAATATGTATCAATCAACTGTATTATTGATTGGTGCTGCTACAATGACGACCTTCAGATCTTATTCTTATTTAACAAGCCCGAATAATAAAAAACGTGCTGGTATTGAGTACACGTGCTTCTTTGACTTTTACTTTTGAGGCATGCTGACATGATTATACCTGTTCCCAAACAGATGGCATGGCCCAGCTTAATAGTTAATTAAATACTTAATAATTCCATCATTAAAAGTTAAAACTTCTCCTCCTTTGCCCACTACTTGGTTGGTGCCTTTATTCCTTTTAATATATGTCATCTCCACTTGCAATGCAATCTTTAGCTTACATGCATGAACCTCCTCACTCCTGCCTGCTCACTTTTTGCAATTTACGGATACAATTCAAAGCATGAATTCAGAATGGACTTTAGAGGTAGATGGTTTCATATTTCACCCATAAGCAAATGGATTTATAATCCTTGAATTATTGGTTGGAGCATGGAGTTATTTGACTGATTCAAAGTTGCAATTCCTTGTTTTTAAAGCTCATACCGACACGGGTAGTCTCATATTCGAACTCCCATGATAATGTGTATGAAAACTACCCTTCCTCGATATCACTTGTATTAAAAAATAACTCATATAAACACGAATGATTAGAGTTGGAAGTTTCGAGCTTAAATACCATGTATGTTAGTCACTAGGCCCCAAACAGTCAAACTTTGAGGGAATATCAAACTAAACATGCCTCACCTCTTATACTTAATTATAAGGTTATTGCCAAATTGTCATCATCAAAGAAGACCTTGCTAAAATTGTTTTCATCCTTCCATGGTGTGGATGCATTCTCATAGGCATATATAACCTGATAGTGACTGATGCATATTCATAGTCCTTTTGGTTATAATCACAATTACTGCTAGCTAATCACCACACCAGTGGATATAATCAGAACATATATTATACATACGTGGCTTGCAGGGAAATGAAGCACTTTGTTCTTCTCGATTGTCAAATTAGAATTGGTTTGAGGATAAAAATCAACAAGTTTAAACTACTACGTGCCACCATATAAATCAGTAATCACAAAACTAACGTATACGCTATGGTGCTTAAGATCAATCATTTTCTTCATAGATCAAGTCTACCTTCATTAATATTT